GCTCATTTTAAGCATTTAAAAACATAATTCTGTGGAATTAATTACATTCACAGTACTGTGTGACCATCATCTCTGTTTCCAAAACATTTTTGTCATTCTAAACATGAGCTCTGTATCCATTAAGCAATGACTTCCCATTATTTCTTCCCTCCAGTTTCTGGTAACCTCCAATCTATTTCTGTCTCTAATTTTTTTTTTTTTTTTTTTTTTTTTGCTTCTTAACTTATTTTTTCTTAGTTGACCCATGATAATTGCATATATTTATGTGCTATTATTTGATTAAAAGACTGTTGAATTTGGCAGCCAGGAAATGTTTACCACTTTATCCCCAGACCCAGCCAAATGTCTTGCAGAGTTGGAGCTTAATAAATGTGTTGAATGAAATGATGAGTGAGTACAAGACAGGAGAGGAAGACTTCAGAAGTGGTGATGATGTAGAGGTGGCCTTGCTCCTAAACCTGTCCATCACAGACCCCAGGGAAACGTCTGCCCCTTGGAATGTGTCTCTGGACACTGAGATTAACCATGCACACAGGCTAGTATGATTGGCAAGCCAGGCTAGCTGTCAGGGGACCTGGTCAAGGGAGGGGTTGATGGCGATTTTATGCTAAGATTTCCTGACTTCCAACAGGTATCACAGAGGACTGGCATCAAATGTTATGAGTAACTACAGCGTTGTCAGGGAATTTGTGCTGCTGGGATTTTCTCATCTCCATGAGTTCCAGGTCCTCCTGTTTGCTTTCATCCTGTTGATACACATGCTGACAGTGCTGGGGAACCTGGCTGTCATCACGCTCACTTGCCTGGACTCCCGTCTCCACTCACCCATGTATTTCTTCCTCTGCAACTTCTCCCTCGTGGAGATGCTGGTCACCTCCACTGTGGTTCCTAGGATGCTGGCAGACCTGCTGTCCCCTCACAAGACCATGTCCCTGGCTGAATGCCTGACCCAGTCTTTCTTTTACTTCTCCCTGGGCTCCACCAACTTCCTGATCCTCACTGTCATGGCCTTTGACCGCTACGTGGCCATCTGCCACCCTCTGCGCTACCCAGCCATCATGAGCGGTCCAGTGTGTGTGAGGCTGGTGGTTGCCTGCTGGGTGGTCGGCTTCCTCTCCATCGTCTCCCCCACTGTGCAGAAAACACGGCTCTGGTTCTGCGGCCCCAGAGTCATCGATCACTACTTCTGTGACTCTGCCCCACTCCTCGAGCTTTCCTGCTCCGACACACGCCACATCAAGCGCATGGACTTCTTCTTGTCCCTGCTCTTCGTGCTGGCCACCATGCTGCTCATCGTGGTCTCATACATCCTCATCGTGGCAGCCGTGCTCCACATCCCCTCATCCTCCGGGCGCCAGAAGGCCTTCTCCACCTGTGCCTCCCACCTCACAGTGGTGGCTCTGGGCTATGGCAGTACCGTCTTCATCTATGTGAGGCCAGGCAAGGGCCACTCCACACATTTCAACAAGGTGGTGGCCCTGGTGACTGCAGTCGTAACCCCTTTCCTCAACCCCTTCATCTTCACCTTCCGGAATGAGAAGGTCAAGGAAGTCATTGAGGATGTGACCAGAAGGATTCTCCTCAGAGACCCAGCAGCCCGTAGATGAGGGGGCTGGAGGGACACCTTCCAAGTCACAAGGAGTAAGGACTCCCTGCAGGTGGGAGCCCAGGTGTGCAGGCTGAAGCTCGTCAGTCTCTTCCTTCTTAGTCTCACTCGCTCCTTCATCCCCATGCAGGTCTCTGCTTCCATGCTATGGAGAGCTGACGGACACAATTTGAATGTCTCAAAGTATTATTATTATTTTTTTTTTGCATGTCTCAAAGTGTGTAAACTTTGAATGTCTCCAAGGACAGTGTCTGCGAACCTGAGATGGTTAAGGGACAGATGACTTTGAGGGAGCTGTGGAGTGAAAATGATAGAATGGCATCAATTGGATAAGATAACCCAAACAAAGCTCCTAGTACAGGGTCTGGTTCATAGTAAGAGCTCTGCACATGGAGCTATTATTATTAAAATGTGCTACTGAAATTTCTCCTCCCCAGTCTGGCTCTATGATTTGTTTACATTCCTTTATGTTTCTTTGTGTGAAGCTTTTATTATGGGTGTGTTCCTTTCTCAGGAACTGGCTTCAGGTGCTGGGATGGGGTTCTCCGAGGAGACTGGAGAGGCCTGGCACCCCAGTGCAGAAGAGAACCTGTGCCCGGGTGGGCTCCCCTTGCCAGGGCTGTAGAAACTCCACTCACACCAGGCTGTCCGCCTCTCCCTTCTGGCCCCAAAGCCTCTTGCCTTTCAACAGGAACGGCTCTCAGGGTCGCTGTCGCGCCCTCTTACAAAAAGTTGTGAGCACCTCATTTTTTTTATGCACTCAAGACGGAGGGTGGGATAGGGGGTGGGGGGTTGTGGGAGCTGCATCGCCCCTCTCAGACTTGCTGCCTCCCCCTTTGCAGGGGCCACCACTTCTCTTCCCCCACAGAACCTCAGATTCAGACCCCAGAGGAAGCTCTAGCTGCAAAGGCCCCCTGAGGTTGGGTTTCCTATAAGGAGCCTGGCCAGATTACCAGGGACCCTGGCTGGTGATGCGGAGGTGGTAGGAGCCACACAAGAGTAGGAGAGGGGCTGCTGTTATGGGTCATGGGGTGGGAGGGCAGACAGGGAAGGCATTCCTTGCAAACCTGTACATGGCTTAGGAAGACATGGGGGTAGGTCTACCTCCGGTGTCTGCTTTCTCATACCAGATGAGATGGGCTGGGATTAGCAAAGCAGGGCAAAGAGCAGGTGCAAACTTCCTCCCACTTCTGAAGCTAGCTCCATCCACAGGATACTAGAGGAGAGGCCCTGGTCATAATTTGCTGTGCGGTTAATAGCAGCAAGAGGACCATCCCATAGTGCAGAAATGCTGAGGTTGTAAGGGAAGCCTTCTAGAATGCAGGGCCTAGGGCCAACAATCTCATGCCATTGTTATTTAGCTTGATCTACAATTAAGCTTTTTGTTTTTTTAAACGACCACAGGACACTTTCACATGTGTGGGCTTCACCAAAAGTGTACAGATTCTTCTGATTCTGCAGCAAAGGTCAGCAGGGAAAACAGTTTTTTATCCTGAGAACTTTGTTTCCTCCACCTCTCAAGGGACTAATTACTCACACTCTTTTTGAACTTTGTGAAAAACTGAAGAACTAAGTGGGAGGCAATTATCTCCTTCTGATACACAGATACTTTCCTTCACTTTCTCCCCAGAAAATAATCAGCACACTGATCCACCGGAGTTTCCTCCTGAGGAACCCTTTCCTGTTAGTCTGTCATCTGTGTACATTCCCCTCTTAAAAATGAAAAATAATCAACAGCCAGTAGCAGGCTATTGCCTGCTTTTGATAGTGTTTCCTTAGGAGTGGGATTCCAGATTGGTCAGTTTTGCGGATGGTGTGACTTGTCTTGGGCCTCCACAATTGTCACCCCATCACAACCAGCGTCACACAGTATGACATTCTCCACAAACTCACCTGTGATCCTTTGTTGCTCAAATGGGATCCTTGGGACAACGTCAACATTTCTTGGGAGCCTGTTAGAAATGCAGAATCTCAGGCCCTGCCTACTGAATCAGAGCCTGCGTCTTATAGGATCCTTGGTGATTCCTATGCAATGTTAATAC